GTAACTGCCATTGGCTGTTCTAACTGCAAAAACAGGAAAAGTCCCAAAAACCAAAAATTGGTCTGAGATAATAGAAATCATCATCTGTTGGCTGTCCCACGTGAAAACCAGAAATTAACAGCATCTCTTGGCTGCTTGAAGTGGTGGTATCCTGCACCTTCTCATATATCTGTGATATGAAAATGTCTTTCTATCCAAAATGGAGCTTCTCTCTCTCTTCCCATGCTGCACATACTCGTCCCTTTCCTAAACAGCTCTGTGAACTTTCTACAAGACCTTGGACCCTCTCCGGGGACGCCTGGCTGACCCCAAACTCCGTGACACGCATCAGCTTTGAAGTGAGATTCTGCTTGTTGTTTTACTGATCCCCCACTGACCCCCTGTCTGGGGCTGGTCTGGTTTGTCCTCCCACCTCTGGGATGGCCGGACCCCTTCCGAGATGTGTCTAATGTGCCTGGTGCCACTTATATACATGTAAGTAACGTAGCATAGTATATCTGCTATTACATCATTGATAAGTTTGCTTCACTAGCAATAACTTTGTTGTAACCTGTAATATTTTATATTTATATACTTCATTTCTACTATTATTGGGTACTGCTACAACTGATGCTATAATTAATCGCTGCTATAGTATTAATTGTTGCTATACTATTACTCGAGAATAATAACTTTATAATAGCTTGATGTACATATATATATATATATATTTGTTTTCTTAATCATAGGTATACTTGCCAGTGGTGATTTGTGTGGTATTTGTGGTAATCTGTAATACAGTAAGGAAAATTAGAGGCTAAAGCCTCAATGCCCTTGTGTATTACAAAATCCTACTAACCCATGGTCGCGATCTTTATACACCGTCGGGCCGGGTAACCCTTTAGGTCGTGACACCGTGTTACAACTTAAGTCACCCAACCCCAGCTCTTAAGCATAGGATGCAAAATGGCCAGAAAAGAATAAGGAACAACACGCACAGAATTCTCTAATATCAAAATATAGCAATTTATTCAAGACACTGAATATGATCTGTTGATTCTCTCCTTAAAACAAATGAGCTACAATACACAAGGTGAATTTGAAGAAAGTGTGGGTGGGGGAGAAACAAAATAAGGGTTGATGTTGTTTCAACAGAACCTGGGAAATGCTGAAATGAGAACCAAGTCTGGCTGCAAGTCTGACACAGACAATAAAAACTGCAGAAGCCAGAATTCAGAATTTCAGTGAGTGGCTGAAAGAACATTTCTGCAATTGACAAAGAACCACATCTTTTAAAAAGGCAAAAGGAGGAAAAAAAGGAGGAAAAATTAAAAAGGGAAAAAGAAAAAAGAAACCCAAAAACAAAGCAGACCCTTACATTTGACAAAGTGCACTTCACTTGGCTCTAAAATTAGCTATTTTTTTCTTTTTTTTTATTAAACAAATTAAAAGGAATTTTCTAAGATGTAGCATGGGGTTAATGTGTGTATAACCCTGTAAGTCAGGCCCTTTAGTGCCCCATAAGGGACCCAGTGTTTTCTACATAAAAGATTCAGTATCCTTCTAACCCACAGAGTCGAGTGGTTTTTCAGAAACTGTCTTTTTTCACTTCAAGGCCAGTTCCAGACAGCCAGCAATGATAAATATCCAGTAAGCCTCTCAACGGTTTCACAATCCTGTTTGCTCGCTTAGGTTTTTCAATTTCTCTTCCGTTACAAAGAACGATGCACAAAGTTATCAAAAAATATTGCATGGAAAAAAAATAAAAATGCTGAAGTCCATCGGCCTCTCGCTTCACGCTGTTCTGTTGCCGGGGAGCCGCAGAAAGGCACCGCTGGCCGAGGGACGCCGCCGCAGCAGCGGAGGAAGACGAGAGCTCCCACCAGGGCAGTTCTGCAGATGTCGGCTTAGACGTCCACGGTGAACTACAGCCTGGGAATGCCTCTCTCTCCCCATTGCCCACCTCCTAAAGAAACCGTCCCGCTAGACTAGGATTAACCTTTGCCACTACATCTTCTGCCTTCCTTAATAGCTGCCCTCATTTTAGCTGAAAGCTGTCTACTACGGTATCTTTGAGGATTTTCCAGCCTTTAGGGTGTTGGGGAGGGGAAGAAAGGTGTGGTTTTTTTTTTTTTAGCTTTTGACATATGCTGCGCTCTAATCTGATGGTCTTTATAGAAAATTCCCTGGACCAGCAGCCTCTCTCACACGTAGGCTTTGCAAACTGATTTTCAAATTTTGTTTCTCTGGGCTTCTCACCTCCATGTAGGCGGGCAGGGGTAGGGTGTTGTTTTGACAATTTAAATACAGGAAAGGGAGAAAAATAAAGGTGTCACGGACACAGTAGCTGTCCCGGGAATAACCACGAAACACAGGCTGTGTAGCCAGCCAGCCACGCAGTGCCGCTGAACTCGGACTGAACCACCTCATCTCTCTGAATCCTGAGGTCTGCCCTATCCAGGCGTCACTCAGGGGACAGAGGCGAGACCAGGCCCCCATCCGTGCCACCCTCCGCCACCTGCAGACCCAGAGCTTCTCTGTGTTGTTCTCAGAAACGCCACCCAAAAGCAGCTTAAGAAGTTAACCGTGTACATGCAATGATTGTAATCAAATCATCGACCCAACCGTGCTTTATAAAACCACATCTCTGTATTCAAATGCAAGTCTCTCTTCAAACAAGCACTTTTTTGTTGTTTTTTTTTTTTTTAAGTAGCGATTTTAAACACATGGCCATTATAAACCAGTGCAAAACTGCCAGGTGATCATCTACAGCCCACGCTCTTGGAGAGGACAACTAAACCCAACACATAAACGCATTTAACATCGAAAGTACTACTTGTCCAATTATTTGATATAAATTATAAATGAGCCTAACTGTCATTAATAACCAAAATGCCACATAACTGTTTCCACCTCAGGACTGAGGAACCCTTTCAGCAGTTATTTCTTTTCATTCTTTTGTCCTTTCCAAATGTGTATCTTTAAGAAATGCAGCTGAGGCTGGCAGTGGCTAGTTCCACTGGAAGGACTAAGATACTGTGCAGATGCAAGCATGAAGAGAGGAAAACACAGGAGAAAAAGTGAGGTATGGATTCCACGATGCCATGACGATGCCGTGATGCCTGGCAGGTTCTACACCACCAGTTCAGCAGTAGGGCTCTGGTTTTGGTTTTGCTCAGATCAAATCACCACTTCAGCAGCTGCGGTCAAATCAAAGGGAAGATCCTGTGTTACAGAAATAGCAACTCCGAGCGGGAAGGTACTACATGATGTATGTTAAAGGGGTTCTCTGCTTGTTTGTTTTTCTCTCTCCTACAAACCCTGGCCTAGCCTGTGGGCTAGAGAGGACACCTGTCTGACTCAGCCAGTTCTGAGGATGTCTAAATAACGGCTGCCACCACCTCAAGGTTGCCTTTCAGTTTACAGCGCTTTCAGAAAACTCTGCCTATGCATCCTTCTTTGCATCTGTCATTTGCTCTTACAGTAGTGTAGTCTTCAGTAGGCATCCCTGCAGACGTCTAGGTTGCAGAGGAAATCATGTCCAAAGTGGATAGGTGGTGCCCTGGAAGTCTTTATTGTGACTCCAATCATTTCATCCACTGTAACTTTACAGTAGTATACACGTTGAGACATAACTTATGTATCCTTTATCACGTCCTCACCTAATGGAGAGTTCTACATTGTCTTCTGAGCACCGCACCACACAAGGCTAAACCTGTCTGGGCAGACCCAGAACTTTCCTTGCAGCACGCAGAACACAGATGCCCGATGCACTGCAGATGCCCGATGCAATGGCAGAGCCTGCCTCTAGGTGTGTGCCGACCAGGGATGGGCAGCAGCTTGGCAAGAGTCCGTTCTTCAACAGTGATAGATGCAGTCAATAGATCTTGGTCCAACTGGTCCCATTAAGTCAGTGGTAAAATCTCATGGACTTACAGGAAGAGAAACAGCTGAGTGGGTTGAATAGCGGAGAGTAGCACTGCTCAGCACGGCCGCGGGCAGCCAAACCCATGTTCTGTGTGACATTTGAACTATTGCTAGAGGAAAGAAGATACACAATTGTTTTTCCCCTGGTTACCGAGGATAAACGAAAAGTATGGACTCAAGAAAATGAATGCTATATTTATAGTCTCAAATTTACGAATGCCTTTTAATATGTGTACATCACCAAACAGCCACAAAAATGAAATGAGACTATATAAATGGCTGGCTGCTGGAAGAGGACTCTTAGTAAATGACTGGCATTTGTTGTAGCAAATGGCATTTTTCTCTTACAGCACTTTCTGAGAGAGAAGAGAAAAAGGATACTGCACCTTTCATGTTCCTTGGACTCTGTGTCATTCTTTTTGCTTGAATTCCACAACTGGTCTACATTTGGTGGCCATTTTAGGCTTTTAAAACTGTTTAACATAAAAAATATTTTTTTTCCAAAAATACACTGGGTTCTTTCTGTTAAAAGTCATCTTTCTCCTGTAAAAATCTTCCCCAGCACTGCATTCTTATATAAAGCACTTATTACACAATTTGCTGAAAGTGCCCTTGAGACGCTAAGATCTGAAGCATGGAGGATTTTTTTTTCTTTTAAACGGAGAGAAAGAAAGGAAAAGGAAGAGAGAGAAGAGAGGAGAAGCAGTCTGTCAAAAATTTTCATTGTCATGTCCACCTGGCTGCATCTACTATGGGCATACAGGGAAAAAAGAAAAAAAAAGGGCAAGAAGAAAGAGGAGGAAAAAAAGGAAGGAGAAGTTGGGAGTGGAAGGGAGAAATAAACGGAAAACAAAAGTTTCATCCTAAGCCTGGGATTCTCCAGGCTGTAATATTCCAGCTGATAGAAAAACCACTGAACAAAAAAAGTAGTCTAGAAAATAGAAAGTGTTGTGATTACAAAGTTGAGCATTTCATCAGTACAAACTGGTCTTTGAACGTCCTTTGGGAGAGCAACTGTAGTGTCCAAATTGGAAGGAAAAAATACAACACCGCATGGAGGAGGATTTTTTTTCCCTTTTGGTTTATCACAGCATTTTTCTTTTTTTTTTTATTAATTTTTTTTTGGCACAGCTTTTTTTTCCCAGCCATCAGAGCAAGTTCTCAGACGCAAACCAAACAGTGCAATGCCTAGCTGGTGGCTTCATGCTTCCAAGGCTGAATGTTCCAGGTGGAAACCATTCCCTCCCCCTCTGAAGTGACTGTGTTTTTACTCCTTGATGAAGGTTACGGACAAAAAACTAGACACCTGTGGCCAGGGAGAGTTGGTTTCACGGTACACTCTAACTTTGTTCAAGTTCGTACAGTTCTGGAGCTGTTAAGAATAGTTTTGAAGAGTGCTTCTCCCCACACATTCACTGCTGGTCCATTTGAAATTTCTTCTAAAACATTTCACTTTTACTTCCGCAGATCTAGAACACAAACCTGGAGAGAAAAGACTCAGCATTAAGAACCATTTCTGAAGGTGATATGAAAGTCCTATTCATATACGGCTCCGTACACAGGCTGAGCAGCCAGCTAGGTTATACTCCCCTGCATCAATCCAGCCCGTCTCAAGTAGCTGTTTACAAGCACACAAGCAAGGGAACAACCCAACACCGGAGAAAACTCAACTGAAAACCATACATTTAAAATTTAGCTGGGCTTTCATTGGATTACAAACAAACATTTTGGTGGCACATCCCAGATAAGACTACGGGCTCTGTTTAGTCGCCTGAATACAGTGTCCACTTCCATTTCTGAAATATATCCAAAATAGACGCACAGGCCTGGCAGGTGTGACACAGGACCTCGAGCGGACATGCGCCCATTTGGAGCAGCTGTTGGAAGCCAGGCATGGCACTATCTCAAATGGCACAACTAAGCTCCAGCAACTGAATCATGTCATAGGTGGAAAATACAGCTCCAAAGTAGTTATGCCAGCCAGCCATGTAGAAAAGTTATTTTAAAAAGCTGTAGAGTGCGTTATAACATCTGTGTGTCCTTCACAAGCTGATCATGCTACAATTGAAAGGTTTTTAAGGTAACATTAACAGCAAAAATAGTAATGAATAATCAGTATCTCTATGGCAATATTTCTCCTTTACCACACAATGAAATCTTTGGGCATCAAGCTGAAAACTTCCTCTTTTAGGAACTATTCAAGGGTAAACTTCTTCTGTGGAATAAAACTTAGAAAGCCCGAGGACAACTGTTTACGAGAGAGTTGACTGCTGTGACCTGACCTTCATTAAAAATTGACAGATGAGATAAATAATGATAGAAACAACACTGCTGCTGTTCTTGTCAAATACGTGTTTAGAAGTCATTCCCATCTTCAGTAACATTCACCTATTCCACAAGCATTTTTCATTTCCAATAAGAACACCACCTCTTAGTATACAGAACCTTTTTAATATACTACAGAGCATTTTTAAAATACTCCACAGAACTACCTATTTCTATCTTGAGCTGTCTACCCTTCAGCTCTGTCCAGAGAAGGCAGTATGGCATGTACGTTTTTTGTTGACGCTATCCAGAAGAGTAATCTCCACTCAACATCTACAACGTGTAAAGCTCCTTACCGATCCGTCTGATGCGCTTGCTCCCACTTTGTCTCCTCTAGCATTCCAGCAGACTTCAAAGATGCCCCCGGTGCCTCTGTAGCTATGTACTAGAGTTCCACTCTACAAAGCAAAAGAGCGTGCAAACATTTGATATGTAAGTTCCCCTTCTTTTTCTCTGTCACGGGGCACTACATTAAAAAGAAGAGTGGTGGCGAGGGGCGGGCTATTCACATCACCCAACTATGGTCATCTCCATAAAGTGAATGAATGAGAAACGGGCTCCTCCAGAAAGCAATTTACAGTAGGACTCTTGGACAACTGGTTTTGCCAACATTATAACAGGAAAGGCCTGGGGAGTTAGGCTGAGGTGGTCTTTTCTAAAGCTTGTTGTTAGTTCAGGCTGTGAGGCATTAGTATCCAGAATTAAATCTATTTTCTTGCATGCTAGTGTTTTAGCATACAATGAAGCCTAGAGCAGAAGAAATGTTCTGGACAGTCACCTCACTTCACCTGAGTGACTCAACTGTTATGCTGAGACTTGTATCAGCCAACACAATCAGGTTCACCTGGGCTGGCAGGTCATACGCTACAGAGGCACACACATTTTCCATTTAAGCTTTTCCTATTCATGTGTCATTTAAAACAGACGTGCTTCACATGAAGCAAAACAGTACCTGAGTATTCCATATATGGACACATTTGTCAAAGGACCCACTGGCTAGATATTTTCCATCAGGACTAAAAGCTACACTGTAGACAGGCTCTTGATGTTTTGTTAACGTATGGATGCAGACTCCTCGGTCAACGTCCCACAGCCGAACAGTGGAATCAAACGAAGCACTGCAAGAAGCATTCAATTACAAGCATGTCTTAATTTGAGTGTTAATCAATTTCTAGTTTGATACTGTAAGTGTTTTAAGAGAATAAGTTTTTTTCCTTGGCTAAGTAAGAAATAATGCTTCAAACAGAAAAGCCAATATTCACTCCAGCCTTGACAAGAACTGTATCTACTGAACTGAATTCTTGTATGTGGAACCTTTGAGTGCGTATCAAGGTCCTGTATATAGGATCAGACCACTAGCTAGCCCTACAAGGATCGAGCTCCTATTTTTTGAGATCCTACTTGATATTATTCAGGAAGGTAAAATATATACTGTCATTAACAGGGTAAATCGTCCCAGAGAAATCTTATTCCTAATGGATTTGCTTTATTTAATAAATTAACATTCTGTGATTCTCTAGAACTGTGATTCTTTTCATTTTGTTTCAGTGCTGTTTTTTTTACAGCCATCTAAACCCCATAGTGTGGGCTTAGAAGAAGGCAAACGAAATAATTTTTATTAAAAATAATATTAAAAGAACAACTCCAAGAAAGCAAAGTAGTTCTTCCCTGTCCAGTTCCAGACTAAGGAGTAAAATAAATAAAACAGCTTTGATACAACTGCTCCCCAAACTGAATACACCATGCACTGCTCTGATAATCCCACGGTACTACCATCAATTGGCATTCTACAAGTAAACATATTTCCTAAACTCAAAGAAGGATTTTGAACAGATTTTCAAGTGGTATTTTAAAGATTACCCAAGCTTTTGCTTGTTAGTTAACAGGCTATAAAATCTGTCAGTATCTGCCCAGGTGAGTTGCATGACCCTGGTTAGAACACATTCCAACTGGCTGAATGGGCTGCAATGTCTCATTAAGTATTTTCATTCATAACAACCGGATGTCAGACGTAAAGGTGCAATGCCAAATTTACAATCGCTTTATCAAGGCAGCTTAAAAGTTAAATATCATATGATTCTATTTTCCTTCTTTTTCTTCTTCCATTTTCAGGCATGATTCCTTTCCCTTTGTAACCATGCCCCTGATTTACAAACGCAGGTACTTTTTTACTGGAATTGTCTGCAGGAAGACTGATGGCAAGGTGACAGTAGTTATATGTCAGAAAGATGCTGCTTCTCCTTGGTAGGCAACAGAAAGAGGTATATTTTTTACCTTGCTAACATGATGTTGGAGTTTGGGTTGCTGGTGCCTGGTCCTGTAGGACTCCATTTGATAGTATAAATCTCTTTGCTGTGAGCCTGAAGATCGTGTACACAGGTATCTTGCTTCATACTCCAAATCTAAGTCAGAGCAATTATGAAGAGAAAAATGGCAACGTTACTAATCTCTTCTCAGCTGAATTCTTTCAGTTCTATGTTATTCTTACCATGTTTATTTAAGACCTTGACACGCATGAATACATATAAACATAATTTAAGTTTATTAACACAGCAGTTTGGCCCCTATAATGCACACACATTAGAATAACGCCATTAGGGGAAAGAGCTACACATTTAATAGTATTTATTCAATAGATAAGAAGAACTAAATAGTTGCTGTACTGCCCATAGCCTGCAATAGTATTTTCATACAGAAACTTAAGTTACTCTGTTTAGAGAAGTTTAACTTGAAGTTTAAGTCACACATTACAACAGCAGTCATCCTAAACAATGAAAATTAAGTTTCAATAACTGCTTAGAACCTAATAATTTTCTCTTATGCCAGTCAAGAGCCACATCAATTTTTCCTTTCCCTCCTAACTCCATTTGTCTTCCTGATGTTTTTAACAGCACAGACAATGGAACAAGATCCACTATTTATGCACTGTTACATGGCCAAATACTTCAGCGTGAGATAAAGAATACATTCAACAGAGATGACAGGTAATTTAGAAGACCTTTTCGTCAGCTAACTGAGAAAACAAGATGAAGCTAATTCATAGCAGGGAAGATAACTCAAATTTAGTCAGTCAGTTTCAGAGAGATACCAAAAATGTAGTAATGATTTAACTCACTTGTTATAAGTCTGCACTATGAGGGAAATGATGTGCTTTCATGCCGAATTTTCATCAGCATATCTGAGTCTGCTTTTGGAAATGTTACACAAAGCTTAGCCATGTTCTACAGCTAACAGGCAACATTTTCCAACAAGTTGTAGGAAAATATCAAGAACTCCAAAAAAAGAGAAAAAAAACGAAGCCAGAGAGAACCGATTTTCAAGGGAAAAAGAATAATAATTGCCTGAAAAGGATTTGCAGTCTCCATCACTGAAGATTTTTAAAAACAGGCGAGGCTGGGAATAGCAAACCATTAGCTCTTGTGGCAAATTCAGCGGTCAGAAATTTGAACTGGCACCAACAACACTGAGCCACAGCTGTTTTTAAAACACAGCACGCAACTGGGCACCAAATAAAAGTGGATGATGATGTTTAAGCAAAGTAATACTGGTTACTATAATACTGCTTTGTGGCAGCACAACAGACAAAGTGCTCTCTTTCGGTCTCTTCTAGCCCTATTTTCTGTAAATTTTTAGTTCTGTGAATATTGTGGAATAATACATCTAGAATCCAGAGGGATGAAAACCCGAGTGGGTGTGCGGCAAAGACACAGTAGAACTGAGCGGAATTCAGGCTACCTATGAAGAGGAAACATCCATAACGCTAAGGTTCACTTAGCTCTAATCTACAAGCTTTGCTGCTCTCAGTTTCAGGTCTTATACATAGGCTGTGTGCATGCCAGAGACATCTCTTACTTTAGCTGTGTCGGTCAGCAATGGAAAGAGGTATGAGCCTTAATTAACACAACTTTACTATGAGAAATCTGTATTACTGGTAAAACTCTTATCCACAAAACCAAATCTTTCCTGAGACGTTTGCTTTGCTTAAGGAACCAGTATAAATCAACAGTCCAGCAGGAGCGCTTTGCTGTTACAACATACAGCTATTTCTACATGGACACAGCCTTCATTCAATGTGACTGAGAAAGGAGAATAAGAGAGGAGTTCAGGATGAAAAAGCTCTGTTGTTAAAAGTATTTCTGCAAGCCCAGACTGCCCCTGTATTAGCAATACTTTGCTGGCACCGTGCAATGGCCCAGGTGTGCTGGTAAAGCAGTCTGTGCTGTCTGTGAGCCAGAATCCAGATTCGTTCCACCTGGACAAACTCAAGAAGTGGACCTATGTGAACATCATGAGGTTCAACAAGGACAAGTGCAAGGTCCTGCACCTGGGTTGGGGCAACCCCTGTTATCAGTACAAGCTGGGGGATGAAAGGATTGAGAGCAGCTCTGAGGATAAGGACTTGGCGGGACTGGTGGATGAAAAATTGGGTATGAGCCGGCAATGTGCGATCACAGCCCAGAAGGCCAACTGTATCCTGGCCTGCATCAAAAGAACTGTGGCCAGCAGGTCGAGAGAGGTGATTCTGGTCCTCTACTCCGCTCTCGTGAGACCCCACCTGGAGTACTGCGTCCAGCTCTGGAGCCTTCAGCACAGGAAAGTCATGGACCTGTTGGAGTGGGTCCAGAGGAGGGCCACAAAAATGATCAGAGGGCTGGAGCACCTCTCCTGTGAGGACAGGCTGAGAGAGTTGGAGTTGTTCAGCTCAGAGAAGAGAAGGCCCTCGGAGACTTTATTACGGCCTTTCAGTACTTAAAAGAGGGCTTATAAGAAAGACGGGGACAAACTTTTAGCAGGGCCTGTTGTGAAAGGACAAGGGGTAATGGCTTTAAACTGCAAGAGGGAAGATTTAGGCTAGATATAAGGAAGACTTTTTTTACAATGAGGGTGGTGAGACGCTGGCACAGGTTGCCCAGAGACGTGGTAGATGCCCCATCCCTGGAAATATTCCAGGTCAGGTTGGATGGGGCTCTGAGCAGCCTGATCTAGTTGAAGATGTTTCTGCTCATTGCAGGAGGGTTGGAGTAGATAGCCTTTAAACGTCTCTCCCAACCCAAACTATTCTATGATTCTAACTTCAGGCACCTAACGGAGGCACATACATCAGTGGCATAGCTGCCTTAGGTGTCCCATACAGCGAATGGATAAAGACAGGTATCTTCAGCGAGCAATTCCGATTTTTGGTGGGCTCTGAATTTATATATTGTGTCCCATTGATTAGTCCAAGGCTATAAAAAAAAATAAATAATCAAACAGCTCCAACAAAATTATTTTCAGAAAAAATACTCCAAAGGGAAAGAAAATTCTTTATTTTTATATTCTTTTCAAAATGTAACCAGTAGACTGCTTCTTAGCATAGGCATTGTGCTTCTATTGACAGGGAAGCAGGTGTATATTTAAACTATGACTATTCTCTCACAGTGACATACCGGTCACTTAACACTTATTTGGACAGGATGTCTCAGTTTTCCCAGTGGCTGCTTCTCTGTGTTCAATCTTTCAGATTAGCTTTTAGAAATATGGGACAAAATGAAACTATTGTTCATGCGGAGTTTTAAGTAATACAGTACCATCATTCTGGAGAAGACTGAAAAATAGACATAATTGTTGTCTTTACTTTTTGAACAGCAGGAAAAAAAAAGCAGGAATGGAAATTATATTACCTTTAATGTCATATCATCGGAGCAAGACGCTAGTAGCATGCCAGATGGGTCCCATTTGATTGCATTTACCTCGTTCTGAAATAAAGAGTGATTTTATTAAGGGAATATTACTGTTACCTGCATTGTACTGGGCAGCCAGCAGAGGGCACTCACGGTATAGGCATGCAACAAGTTCAACCACAAATTACAGCCCTGGTTGCTTTATGGGTGAACAAAAGCAGTGCTGCTTCCATAACATGCTATTTAAAAGTCATTTAGGAACGGGAACCATTTTGTGTTTGTGAACAATACACACAATCAATCTTCTGATACGTGTTCTGGCACAAAGTCGCTCTTACCCTTTCTTCATATGCTAGGATTTAAATAAACCCTCAAACCAGACCGAGTGATAATACAGCATTAACTTCTTTCTACAATAGAGATACTTCTTTGGTCAATATTCTGATCTCAGTGATACAAAATTTCAAGAGAAAATACTGGCGGGGTGCAAAGTTTTGTGGAGTTTATTGTTCTTAGTACTGCAGCTCTACAACAATGCTGGTCTCTCTAAACAGAGGTGTACGTGAAAATGAAATCCAGCATGGAATATTCAATAGTTTACGATGCTTTCTCTATCCATCTTTCTAGCATTTTGTAATTAACTAAGCCTAGCGTATCCCCTTGGTAATCAGTAAGTTTTCTGTGCTTTTTTGAGGGTCATACATATGGGGGAAAAAAGCATTTCATAAAAAGGGAAAGATTGTTTTTTAAAAACATAAATTGGCTCAGGATCTCAGTGAAAATAATCCTGGAAAATACTTAAATTTTGCTTTATCCATTTTACATGTTTCAGTCATAATTAAAAGGAACTGTACAGATATGTGAAGTAAAAATTTGGATCATGTGCAAAATGGTGCATTTCATATAATCACAAAAAGCACCAGCCTGTTGGTAGGAATGTACAATCTATCATGAAATATCAGTTTAACCAAAGACTAACTAAAGGTCTTCAAATGCACATTTTTTCCTTAGTAGGGAGATAGCAAATTCTGGAAGTTAATATCTAAATTACAGGTCAGTATATGAACAGCAGCTTTCTCATTAATAAAAGCTAGAAAAACTAGCCCTTGACAGTCATTAAATACCACCAGGAAAAGAGGGGGGGAAATGCATCTTAAATAGATCTTATTAGGTGAAATTGATTCTAAAACTGAACAATGACTGGAGGTAAATTGTTCCGTCCTTATTCATAGTTCTCATTTACTAAAGGAAATTAAGCCAACGGAAAAAAAAAATTATTTATTAATGTGCCCTTAGTCTGCAGCTCATGCTACTTATAAATAGTCTCACTGTTTAAACTGCAGGTTTTGCCTCCTACGGTGATGCAGAACAGTTTATCCCTTCTCACAGGCAGTGAGTCATTCCTGAGGAATATGGTTTTAGGGAAGCAATGGGATGTAACAACTTTGGTGCTAGAACACACCCTGCAAACACATCATCTGCCATCATCTTAACACGCTGCTGTGACTTTATCACTAACATTTTGGACTTCTTAAACTTACTGTGTGTCCTTGAAAGGTTTTAACAGGACGATCACAGCCAAGTCTGCATACATGAATGCACATGTCAGTGCTGCAGGAGGCAAACGTAGTGTTGTTCTGCCAGTCTACATCCAGAGCAGGAGCTGTGAAGTACAAACAATGAAAGGAACATCAGCAAAGAAACAGTTATCCCAAATCATTTTCCTCCTGTCACCCATCTGGATAAAACGGACTAAAAGCTAATTCTTGGCCTGTCACCTGCAACCAGTTACAGGGATGATAGGGATGGACAGAAGGGCACAAATTATTTTTTCTCTTGCAGTGGGTAATCTGGATGCTTTGCATGGCACCTCTTTATAAGAATCTTTTGGGTAAAGTTACATAAGAGGGGGCAAAACAATGTGCCTCCACCCTCCCTGCTCCCAGCTGGACACTGCTCTTGTGCCATCTCTACCACTCATTCCTCTGTAAGCCAGCTCAGCGAAGCACCTGGAAGAAAACTAATCCAGAAAAAACGTGGAAAATTTCATCTGGGTTAGAAAAAATGCTCCTGTGAATGCCAAGCACAACACATGGGAGGGAGAAGAAGCAGGTGGCCATCATCCTTTGCACTGGCTTTAGGCAACCACGGATACAAACCTATTGTTCTGTGCAGACACATGGATTAATAACACCTACATTCAGTTTGATTTAGTTGGGGATTGATAAAGCTGATCTGAAATGAGAGGAAGAGCTTCTATAGAGGGTTTGGCATTAATTGGGACTGAAGTAATGAAACTTTGTACACAGACAGCACAGGAACATATAACTAGTGCCTGTGTGCAACACACACACTTTGCAAAAAAGCGTGGAAAAAACCAACAACCCAACCCCGCTGTTACAGCATGTCACTGCAGACTAAAAGGATGCGCAGGAGTAGGAGGGAACTCCTGACATATAGCTTGCTTGTGTTTCTATGACTGCTGCTTGGTTTTTTCGCTCAGGAGAGAGTTTAGCTGCCCTCCAGAGGATGACATAAGACTTGCTAAAATACAGAAATCTTCATTCTCGGCACACTCCTGAGAGAAGCGAGTGTGTCAGAATGAGACCAGCATATACGAAGCAAAATTGTATCTCTTTCTGGCAACAATACAAATTTAGCATTTAAATGAAGCCAAGAAATGCCTTATTCAAATACGTTCAGATAAATACTTTTGTAATACAGAGGTGATATCTGTGCTGCCAAGACTATTATACTTAAGTATGTTTTTTCCTCTTACAATTTTTATGAACTGCAAAATGAGACTGCTGTAATACAGAGGTGATGAGATATCTGTGCTGCCAAGACTATTATATTTAAGTATGTTTTTTCCTCTTATAATTTTTATGAACTGCAAAATGAGACTGAACCATGTCACTTTCCGAATCATCAGGTAGCACCCTAAATGAGACTGGGGGTTGAAATTGTTTCAAATACAAATATTTTTTAGAATATTAATGAAAAAGCTCAATAATTCTGCGTGACAGGTAAGGAATTTCTACATTGCAGAAATATAAAGGAAAATTGTAAGGAACACAGATAACTTCTGACATTTCCAATGAACATGAATAAGGATCATGAAACAGAAAAGGATTTTGTTTCTCTAACCGCCTGTTTGTCTTTATTTTTATGCTGCAAGATTTGTACTACTGTTTCAGAGCAAACAAAAATCTATCTTCATTAACAGCAATATGCCTTCAGGCCTAATATCTAGTATGATATGTATGAGTTGAAAAGTAATTTTCTGAGTGCTATTGGCACTTAAAGCGATGGATTCGCATTGCAGCATAATTTGAATCATAGAGTGCTGATAATTAATACTGATTCATTTATTGGTATATTTAATCATATGTTTGCTGGATAAATAACTACAGAAAATGGTCTGGAAACAACCAAACGTGGTTTTTGATGCGAGTAATCAAATTGCCAAAGTGTCTCCAAAACCACAGGATACTAGCCAATTGCATAAAACCAATTAGAATGTCATCTAATAAAAGCAGCAACAAACCCTTAAGAAACACAGCTAAAATTAATACCAACAATAAAAGCGTTACAATAATTATCAGTTAATCAAGCATTTTCTGATCAAATTTAGGTGTGATTCAGAATTAGGATCTCAGAAGTGGAGAGGGTTAAGTGTCTGCAGGGAGTGATTCAGAGCACTTCAATGTCTAAAACTGGGTCACACAAATACCTCTTATTGCATCACTTAACCAATTTGTTCCTGCATGCGCAGACATCAGTCCCCATCTATCAGTAGATGTGAAAACTAGATTATTTCACTCCACTTTAAAGCTTTGTGAATACATATTTTAATCAAATACCCTATGATGACTCATAGTTTTGCAAAGAATAATGAAACCCTAGAAGCTATTTATCCACATACTTAACATATTTACACCATAAAACCTTAAAGTCACATGGGAACATCAATGATATAGAGGCCTTCAAGACCTTCACAAAGGAGCCTTTCTTTACTTCCTTACTTTAACATGACAGTTTGTCCATATGGCTGTAAGCTAAACAAGTTGTTGAAAAGCAGCCGAGAGTAAAAAATTGATGTTATTCCAGGCTAGCTATCTCTGGACTTTGAAGAAGTATGCAAAGAAGTACATCACACAAGTATGCGTTAAAGGAACTGTAGTCTGTCTAGACTAGACTTTTAATTGTTAAAATGCCACCTTTAATCCTTGTGTACACAAGATTTTCACATTCCAGATATGGTAAGGAAATCGCTGTTACTTTGTTCTGGTGAGTAAGTGATGCAAGGAGGACAAGGTCTTTGTGGCTTTAGACTTACATGAGGACAAAGGCTCCAGCTGATTTTAAAGGGCTTATTGTCTGACATATGCTTTTGGCCTATCAACAGTTTCCTTAATTACAAACTGCTTTACCTCCTTGTGAAAACATAGATGAAATAATCAAAAAAATTAGCCTCTCCATACCTCCACTTCAATTGCATCTTATGGTCCGAAGACATAGACGTAAAAGATTTTTTTTTAAATAAATGAATGCAGATGGACATTGGCATATTGCACTGGAAGACGTACTTCAGTTTTCAACTTGCTAAAAGGGGAATGGAGTGATACGTCCTTGATGTACATCATTGCTAAAACAGCTACACGTCAGTGAACATGATTCTGAAAGGGCAACCAAGTTCTGAATCTTCAACAACTTAGATCAATAGTTAGGGATTAGAAGGCTTAAGAGTTTCATTAACTACATTGCTGTACAGCGCAAAGTTTGCTTTTGTGGGACAATTATGATAGATAAATAAATGCCACAGTGAGAAAATCTGTCAGCAGACACTGACTCCTCCAAACTGACAGTTGAATTAATAAGCAAGATGAGTGACAAAAATGTAGAGTATGGATCTGCTGTGTGCATGCACATACTTTTTGTCTTCTGTTCAGTAACCACTTCAATTGCTACTGCATATTAGTAACATATGTGAAAATGTGAGAATGAGAACAACTAGAACTTGAGTTGAAAAGCATGTGCAAATTAACATTTTAAAATGAATAAAATAAATGTTTTTAAACACCATTAATCACCTTGTGGAAAGCCCACTGTATTAAAAAAAAATAAATTAGTTACAGAGAGCACACAGGAAGATGAACATTTCTAGCATCAGAATGTGGAATGTTTTGGTGGTTTTAAACTCAGTTTGACTATGCCCCTTAAAAATACTTCGCTGTGACAACTTCTACAGTTTCTTACAAGCCTGGTCTCAGGTGAATTTAAGATTACATCAATGATTGCCTGTTACTCAAGATCACTCAGTATCTGTGACATCTCCTGTCTTCTTGAAGCAGACTAGATCTACAAACGACCATCCAAGCAAAGTTTTGGTGCTGCGAGATTTTGAAACTCAGGGCTGGCAACTGACTTCTGATAATCAGAGAACGCAAATGCTGAAGAACTTAAAATTAAAAAAGTCAAAATTAAAAGCTAAGAAATTCCTGAGGACCTTCATGCTTGCAGTGGTGAATGCAAGCTGCATGACAGATCTGTTTGCTTCTATCTCAAGTAAACTTCATTGCAACAGGAGCAGAAAGAGTGGAAGAGACCCCAGACACTTCCACTGAAAAGTTTCTTCATAAATCACCACTCGGTACTATTCAAGCTCGTAGATAACGACAGAATCATGCAGCTAGGTAGACATGGCTGGTGTACAAATCCTCTCCTAGAGCCAGTTTGACTTTCTAAGCTGATTCTCACAGGACCCAATCTTTCTGAAAAAAGAATAAACCCCAAAAGCCATGATACACAGGATAGTTAAAGCACAAAAAACCTGGATCAAACTTCTCTCTGGCAGGTAAATTTTTACAAAAGGATAAATCACATTGACAAAGTCACAAACTACGTTTCATTTTACTAACAAGAGTTATACAGAAATTACCTGAATGGAAAGGAAACTGCTGTTTAGCTTCTCCTGTGTGAGCATCCCAAATTATTGTTGTCTGCATCCGAAGGAAGGGGGAAAAAAAAGATTAGTGACTGTTCAGCTCAGAGAAAACAAACAGAGAGCACCCTCACTGAGGAGAAATTCTAAAAGATGGACTGAGAAAATTATGGACTGCAGAGCCTTGTGCGCCGAACAGCTGAAAAAACAGAAATCACTTCCAAACGTTACAGAATAATAATCTAAGTGTAGATAAGGAAGTGTCACCCTTACAGACGAAGCAATATAACTACTAAGGATGGGCATATTCTGTCTGAATAATGCTAGAAGACAGCACTACGCACTTCTAAAAAGCATTTTGTTACAGCTGTTTCAGTTATCTTCTTCAAAGAATACTTTTTCCCCTTTTCAAAGATGTAAATTGAATTGTATTCAAAAACTACGTGATACTACATTTCTAACAATTAAACAACCAAGTGAAATGTTTATCTATCAGCAGAGTAGGTATCACTTATAGCCACTGTGGTAGGACAGAATTAAGTGTCATTTGCTTACTACAGGTTTAATCCATACCCACAGCACACATAAGCAACCACCCTGTAGAGGTCAATACCACCTTCTTAGCGAATTGTCTACGTACTGGGAGTCTACGCTTCCAGAAAATAAATTAGGAATGCCTCATCTTGCTGTTAATGGATCATCTAAAGAATCACTGCGGTTATTTGGAATGTAAGTTTGCCAGAATAATGGAACTACCTTTGGGAGACAAGTGTAGCTGAATATAAGTCAGAATTAAAAGGAATAAAACTAAGTTTCCATTTTAACAAGTATGTAAAAATATAGAGATTCATGTAGCCTACAATCAGATGTACAAGCCTCATCTAGTCTCCCTAGACTCCCTCTGTCAGTTGCTGGAGAGGAGCACTGTCACTGCGTCTCACTGCATCACAGCCCATATAACTCATCACTTGGAAGTGCCATTTTTCTCTCTGAATTGTATAAAGGAAGCCAAGGAAGACATACACATCTAATTTTTAGACATCGAAAGTTAGGCAATGAATGCTGTGTACTTTCCAGTTTCAGTTCTAATGGATCGGTGCTCATCAGCAGCAGTCATCTGCTCATTTTAATCTCTAATATGCACTCAGCTGAAACTACCATGTTTTGCTTGATTTGGAGTTCAGAACTACCATATTTTTTTTTTCGTATTTGCATAGGAAGTCATATATATTTTATTCAAATATAAGTGTTTCACTAATTAGATAAGCTAAAAGGTCAAGTATCTTTAAGATCATATCCTTCCTGGAAATAGTCGATAAAACTATAAACATAAGTAGTGGAAACAGTTCTTTCCTTAACTGAGAAACATTTAAGATGCAATTTTACACAGGGGGCAAGTGGACTTGTTTTTTTAAAGTAAAATCTTTTACATAAAAATAGTACACATTTATGCAGCCTCTAAAATGTGCACTAAACACGCACTAGAACATATTAAAGAAAAGTAAATTCTCCAGGATGCCTGGAGGAAAAAAAATCTTACACAATTCAGCAACACAAGCTAACTCAGTCAGCACATTTATATGTTAAAATAATGTATTTTTAAAACTCACTTTATCAACACCAGCACTTAAAATATAATTCCCCTTTTTGTTCCATTTCAGGGCAAATATTGGACCTTTATGTTGACCTAAGGTGCTTGCAAGGTTACCTGGAATAAAGAAAAGGCGAATATTACAATTTGTTTACAAATTTGTCAAATTATAGTTCACTGCTGTTAGATGCTTAAGAACAATAAATGTTGTTTAACTTACCATCTTCTGTCCATATTCTTGCAAAACCATCATATGAGCCTGTAGCCAATAGCGTTCCATCACTCTGTTGGGATATACATATAAATGGCAAAGGTCAATACTAGATGAAATCTGTTACAATGAACATTTTTCTTTTTGTTTCTTTTTTTTTTTTGAGGTTTGTGCATTGTGATTTATGGGAAATCTGCGTCCACACATTGAGACAGCTTATACTGTGATTTAAACTAAAGGTTATTACTGCAGTCAGCAAAGAGGAAATAAAACCCTCTAACATACTGTGAAATACTGGGCTAAACCATCAGATAAGAGAAATTTCATGAAAAGGATTAGAAAAAGAAAATAAGATATAATAAATTCTATGGGATTCTTCCAGATAACAAATAGATAGTACTTCTTAGACACAAAGAGCCTATAGAACATCAACAGATAGTCTAAATCCTGACTAAATCCCAATTCAGTGAAATTTAGTCACCTATACTTGAAAGAAGGACCTGAACACCTAAGATGCCTATGTTCATAGTCAACACCTTCAATGCTATCTACCACAAAGAAGCTGCTTCTTACTTGTCTAAACACAGACTCCAACACATGCTCAGGGGCACAGTGCAATGATGGACAGCCTGAGAAAAGCCGGATTCATGGGTCCTGGTTAGTAGAAAAAAAGCCCAGGAATTGTGATCAACAAATTAGATGTATTCTGCTGGCGGGAGCCCTTCTCCGAAGGATACCTCCTCTGCAACCAACAATGCTATAGTTATTGGGCCAGAATAAGGGTAATTAAAAAGGAACTCAACTCTACAACCTGGTGAGATAGGTACTGTTAGAGCTGGGCGTTCAGTCTTTGAACATTTCAGCACCTGGATTAAGAGTGAGATTCACCCCATTTATCTCCAGACATCTACAAGTTAGGAGTTAGTTTAAGAGAGTAACCTAGTCTCCGTCTATAACTAACAGCATCACCCGCCTCTGGTGTGTAATTCATAATCCCGTTTGTTTTACACTGTGCCCAGACCAGCACAAAGACACATGTCTCTGCTTCTGCTGACTTAGAGGGAGTCTAGATCACTAGTTTAGATGGTTTCATCTAAGGAGATGAATCCTACCCTTGGTACCAAAGGTCATGATGTGAATACGGCCTCTAGAAATAACCTTTCTTATTAGAACATAAATCACATAAACCAGAGAAGAACCAATTTAATATCAGCAGTGTGAAAATTTCAGTGAAATATGATTAATATTGTGGTTCTAAATAAACAATAAAGGCAGATGGCATTGCTAGCATCATGAATAGAAAATTAGGAAAAAGCATAGAATAATCCTTTAGAACATATGTCCACTCCAACCCTCCAAAAACAGTGAGTCAGAGCAGCTGTAGATTTAACTCAAATGTATAATGATGTAGGGGGTAAAATAGCAAAACCTAAGCCAACTTCACTGTGATATACACTTATTTGGACCACTGATCAGAACAAAGGTGCTAAGAGCAAAAAGGGAAAAATGAAGGAAAGCTCAGGGACTAAAAGCACAGTTTATCCAAATTTGTTGGTGGTAATTCACATTTGTTGGAAAACTCAAAGTAAGTTGGAAGCACTTCAAGTGTTTAAATTAGGAACATTTTCTTACATGAATTACTAGCACAATGCACGTGAAGTATCAGCGATCACTGAAGTCTGGAAAGGTAAGGAACTACTACAGGAACTACTAGAGGACACCCTGTATGTTTTGGACAACTTGTCTCATAACCGTTCTGCACCTCTGCATGGTTTCCTCTTTCAAGTACTCTTTTCCTACTTCTCAATTCATTTTTTCCCAACTATTTTTCTTCACCATGATATCAACAAGAAACAAGCAACGGACATTCTTGGGTTTTATCTTTATTTGCTTTGTTAACCTACCTCTGCTTTCTGTACTATTCACGAATTTCTTTCTTTGTGTCAAATATAAAATACATAGGGGAAGCTGATTTGTGCACTGGCATTATCTTTTACTTTTGTGAAGCACCTAGCTCACCTAAAGGACAATAATATTGCAGTAAAGATTAATCAAAATCTTGGTCTCTGGCCAGCAACTGAGATGGTATGTAACTGCTGAAAATCCTTTCTGGTACTTAATTTTTAATCTGGTTTCCTACAAAAGCAAGACTAATGCGATCACTCTGTCTGTACTAATACCAGCAAAACAGACAGAATGCAAGTGATCTCGAAATTAATTATGGTTCCTGCAAGGTCCTATAAGTTCTTTGGACAATGCCTGGTGGCAGAAAGGAGACATGAAGCAGCCTTAAACCTGCCCAAAGACACTGCCCAGACACTGGAGATTCTTAACAATACCTGTTGTCTCTGCTCACTTCAGACTTCTCTGTGCAGGACCATATTATCTAAGATAGAAAGTTTTGCTGGATGAAAGTAAAAAAGGGATCAGGCAAAACAGTTCCACCCAGAAGGTGGGTGGGTAAAGAGAGAATGACTATATATGCTCCTATCGAAATAAAGACAATAATGTGAACGTGTTTTGCTACGCACAGCATAATTCAAATGAAAGTCCAACCTCACAAAAAGCTTGGCTGGTGCTTATATCTCCTTCCATGCCAAAGTAAAGTAACTATGAGATGCAAATACATTATTAATCAAGCTTCATTACTACATAGATTGCTTATTTAATCTTCATGCTTAAAGTTGGCTAAGTTTATTTTTACCCATGCTCCTAAACCAGACATATAAATACATCATTATTAAGCTTGAAGATGGCAAGAGTCCTGGAAAATTATAGCATATAGGGGAAAGTTCAGCCTATTATGGGTATTTGAAACAAGAGGTCAGTAGGTTAGGACAGAGCTTCTGGTCACCTCAGATATAAAAGATATGAAGCAGCAGCTGTAATTGCCTCCGAATTAAATTTAGACAGTTAAAAGCCATGCACAGTCTTAGAAGTTAGCTTACATTCCAGTCCAATGAAGTCACATCCTTATTGCTGGGGACATCGTGTCCTCCTTCTCTTATGCAGTGCCTCAAAACTAGTTGAGTGGACCCACTGTTGCTGTTTTCATTGAGATTCCATATTCTGGCCGTTGAGTCTCCAGATCTGTAAAAGCAATTGTGCAGAGATGAAAACTCCTTTTGGTGCCAACCCAGCAAACAATGTAAAAACCTCTATTTGTGTTTTCATTGAGAGAACATCACAGCCTTTAAAAAGTAATTTTTCTTTCCAACACTTCCTGCACTCCGCATACCTTTTAAATAAAGCTAACACATATTTAAATTGTACATATCATCTAATTCCACATCATCATTTGCTTAATTCAGAAAAGTTTCACCTAAAATACATTTGCTTGCTCTCTACATTTTGCATTTCATATCTAAAGTTGATATCGCTGTAACTGAGATAGTATGGGGGAACTCAACATGTGGAGATCCCATAAAGACAGGAACACAAAGGCTGTGCACATAAAAAGCGTGCACAGTCCCATTAGCTCCCAATGGCTCACCGAGTCCCTGCTCCCCCGGAGATGCAGTATGTTCTGAACAGACCTGGAGGGTTACCATCTGCAGAGGTGCTGCGTGTCACCTTAGCAGCAGCCTCGGGGAACTCGGGGAAGGGGATGTCTATCAGTGTGCCAAAGGTGCTGTGATGCCACCTCCCTGGTCCTGCCTGGGTTCCTCTGACAGCTACGGCAGGAGCAGGAGGTGAACTTAAGGCTGCTTTCGATTTGGCCCCGGCCCTTTCATAAGGTACCTCTGTTCGGGACAGACCAGAACACAGCCTCTGACAGAAGCTGTTTGCAAAACAGCCTCTCGGCATTAAATCAAACCAGAGAATCTAAAGATTAGGAAAGTAGAAAGGTAATTTAAATTCATTTTTAAAATTAATCTTAATTTCTTTTTTTAGATTCACGTCTACAGGGTCCTTTGCAGTCTGTAGCTTGGCTGCTTAGCTCACACCCGAAAAAGTGGCAAAATAACTATTGACATAATAGAGCAAGACAGAGACACCATCAGGATTTTAATCTATTTTATAGACCAAATATTTTCTAGGGAGATGTTTTTATTGCAGACTGAAACCCTGATCTTGTCTAGAAAAAGTTGTGAGGAGGAAGTGAAGAGGTTATCATAATCTGCTTGTAAATAATATACTTATTTTCTCTCTGTATAAGTCTTTCTTCCAACGAAAAATGTCTCTGAGGTCAGAAATCAATTTGCAATGGAGTGGAAGATATTCCGCTTTCTAGTTTATTGGGATTTGTCTCTCGCTTTCCCCCAGCCCACCCCTGTTGGTTTTTTTAAACAATCAATAACAACAACCAAAACAATCAAAGTACCCTGGATTGCTTGTTTTGTCCACAGGGTAATTTTCATTTACATGCAGTAAGTACAATCTTGGAGGAGAATTAGGATCTCTCTTATATTTCCAAGAATTCATACAGTCAAGATGAAATTTCATTGTTGATATACCTGACGTGTTAGCTTTTCCTTTTTTTAAAGTAATGACTAAAACTTCATTTCCTAGACACTAACAAGGAGAAAGTCTTTCTCGAAAGACTAAAAACCTAAGATCCATTTTTGCTTTGATAAGCCATGTTTTACTGAAAAGGAAATCTACCACAAAAGAATACTAAATTTTCTCTTCCCCTACCAATAAAACATTTTAATTATTTATACTAAAAGTACCGGGTAAATTTTAAACACTTCACACATCTTCGAGTGCAAATATTGATCAATTAAGTATCAAACTTGATTGATCTTCGTGTATTCTTTTACCAACAATTTAGCCAAATTTAACATGAACAACAGTTCAATTGTGAAAGCAGAAACCTCTCTGCCTGTAGCCGTGGCTCTGAGCTCTGCTGGTTCATGGCACGCCTGGGGAATGTGCCCCCATCTCCTCTGAACCCTTTGTGTCAAGCTCAGATGTGATGGCTGGCCAGGGCTTTGCCAGCCGAACCACAAGCTACTGTAATTTTTGGCACGAATCTTTCACTTTAGTGATTAAGAAGTAAATAAAATCAGGATAATTTTTGCCACCGTACAGAGCTGTGACCGTAATATATCTCCTTATTTTTCAGAGGTCTGGAAAACTGAACAACAATTTTGCACATGTTGGCTAGAAAATTAACAAAGTTAATCATGAGGTTCAGAAGTTAAGGAACATTATTATTTGTGATAATTTACAATAACGGGAACAGGAGTAAGTCTTTCATAGGCTTGGGTTACTGGTTAACATGCTAAGTAGGAAATTCCTTGAGCGCTGGCTTCTCCACTATATAGGACTCCAGGTCACTCCTGCCCTCATTGTAATAATCCAGTTTGTTATTGGACCCTGTAAATAAAGTACTCAGCCACTTGGCTATCAAACACAATGTCCTATTTGCTAGTTCTAAAAGGGTTATGTTTTGTTTTTCAACAGTTCTATTTAGTCAGTTTTCTGGCAATGCTTGGGCAATCTTATTTTCCAGTATTTTAATTTTGTTTTTCCATTTTCTTCTTCCTAAGGCTACATAAGCTATTATGTGTCCCTGCCGAGAGGCTTTATAAGCCTACCAGTGTGTGGCAGGGGTATTTGTGTGTCTTCCCTTTTGTTGCTTGCAGAAAAAAAAAAAGAGTATTCTCTGCTCTGGAAAGTATTCTGATTTCTGTTGAATGATTCAGTGAACCCTGCCTTATTAAAGGACCACAGTTCAAGCACAATTCAGAAAGATATTTAATCTCCTTAGCTCACAGAAGCATTTCTATCTGCATGATAAAGCAGCTCATTTCAACATGCAAGTCATGAACACTTGAGTAATAGGTATACTGTTCTGCACCATGGTAGAGTACTGCCAAATTTTAGGAAGGCTGGTTCTGAAAGAATTTTATTTCATGCTGTGCAGTCCCGGTATAATCATGAATCAAGGTGGACAAACATTTGCAGAATTTTATTTGTGACGTATAAAATCTCCATTCCACAACTGCCAGCAGAGAGGTCAAACCAGCTGCAGTTGGGTAAAGAAATTTGCAAGACGGGTGTTGAACCTTGGTATTTCTAATCTTCAGCTGCAAGTCTTATAATCACTGCTATTTTGATAAGCAATATTGCTAATGTGTATTTAACATTTCTGGCTGAAATAGGTTAGACTTTTTATCATTTTATTTTAAAAGAGATCATTAAAAGCATAAAGGGAATGAAACTCCTTATAATTTACACACCTAACTTTTCCTTGACAAAGCAGGTGTCTTACAGTAAGCGCTTATGTTTCCTAGGCAGTCAGTAGAGGGAAGTGCCTTGGAGGTATCTAGGGAGAGATCTTTGTCCCATTGACTCTACAACATTGCTACCTTCAATAGGTTATTCAAGTTGACCTCACCTAATGCACCTGGGGTGCATTAAAAAGAGCATGGCCAGCAGGTCGAGGGAGGTCATCCTCCCTCCCTACTCTGTCCTGGTGAGGCCACATATGGAGAGAGTCCAGTGGAGGGCTATGAAGATGACCAAGGGACTGGAGCATCTCTCTTATGAGGAAAGGCTGAGAAACCTGGATTTGTTTAGCCTGCAGAAGAAAAGACTGAGAGGGGATCTCATCAATGCTTTTAAATATTTAAAGGGCAGGTGCCAAAAGGATGGGGCCAGACTCTTTTCAGTGGTGCCCAGCAACAGGACAAGGGGCAACAGGCACAAACTGGAACACAGGAAATTGCATCTCAACATGAAGAGAAACTTCTTTACTTTGAGGGTGGCAGAGCACTGGCACAGGCTGCCCGGAGAGGTGTGGAGTCTCCTTCTCAGGAGATATTCAAAACCCGCCTGGATGCATTCCTGTCCAACCTGCTCTAGCTGAACCTGCTTTGGCAGGGGCTTGGACTAGACGATCTCCGAAGGTCCCTTCCAACCCCTACCATTCTGTGATACTGATTCTGTAATAGCTGACCGCTTTGCATTAATTGATTTGATGCAATGAGGACACTGGCCCCAATGAAGTCACCTGCTAATGAATAAGCACTTACAGTTAACAGAATTAACACCTGACACCAACTAGAGGGGTGGTGTGTGAAATCAACACCCCTAACCTGGTAATTCAAAAGGATTATTCAGAAAGGTAATTCACAATGGATCCTAAACCACTGATATGAGGAATACAGTAACTCAAAGCTTTATATAAACCCAGAGATGATGACAGGAGATGGTCTAGAAACATCTTTTCTTGCTTCTGAGAGACATGGCCATAACTGAAAGACCTTAGATAAAGCTTTTATGGCTAATTATTTTGCTGATTGGGGAAAGCGAAGGTGCACAGAGCACTCTGCAAAAGAAAAAGTTCCCCTGTGTGAAAGGGGCTGGTATAGATCAGCAAAGATAAGCAAAGAAACCTACTGTTGGGTTTTGGGAATGAAGCCAGGTCCCTCTGCTTGATGGCTACAAGAATTACTTGAAGGTCACGGCTGGATGTAACAGAACAGAGCACGCTCTTGGAAGCAGCAGCTGAATGTGCGGAGAGAGCATCCTAAATTCAACTAGCAAAGCTTCTGGAGTTCAAGGCTCTGGCAAACTTGGCATTCACACTCCACCCACTTCCATACTGGGAAATTCAAGCATGTTCAGAAACATTCTGGGTCACTGGACCATGATCACCTATGCCAGCCAACTGATAGATTATTCCCTAGCCAGACTCTGGCCTGTTTTAATTAGCACTCTTGCTTGGGGCACTGATGTTCTCTCTGAATAACTCCTGGGCATGGCTTGGTGGTTACAATGGTTCAGGGACAATTCCCAATGTGCAGTTTGCTTGGCAGCCAGGACAGTTTGCTAGCACAGACACCGGCCATTCTCCGCCAGTTGGCCTCACTGCCTAGGAATATTCCCAGGCATGGTTAGTTTACTAATGTGGACGTAGCTGTAATGGGTTTCTGCACTACCCAGGGAACATAACCATCTGTAATAATTTATATGTGTCATAAAATTAAAACTTAGACATTGGAAGATATTTCAAGGAAGAAATCAGTCTTTGAAGAGGAGGACAATTGGATTTTAAGAGCAAAATTGGAATGATGGCTAGGAATAGCCTAATCTTCACATTTGGCCAAGCACCTACTTTTTTTTTTTTTAAAACCTGTCCAAAACAATATATGCAATTCTTTGTTTGGGAATGTTGATTTCCTTCATAAAGAGTAATTAATCCTCTTACACGGCTGTATGTACACACTTTACTGTACTATTATGATACTTCCATTCATAGCATCTAAGCATTCTTCACGTAACCATCTGCTGACAGTCATGCCTTTGATAGCCTTTACTGGTACCTCTAGTCTCCTCCATCCTCTACTTTAACGGTTATGGGTATGGTAGAGAAGGAAGAGCAGCTGCAGAATATATTTTTTCTGGCTATTTGACCAGAGAAATTCCTGTCTCAGCGGTTTGTTTGGTTTTTTGGGTTTGTTTTTTTTTTTTTTTTAATACCCTTTGCAAAGTCCAGAGAGTAAATTTTCCTGTGCCAGCCTTCACATCTATGATTTTTTAAAATCATAGCAATTGAGTAGATGGGACATCAAACATCAAAGCCCTTTCTTTGGAGCTAGTGGGATACTCACTAAATCTGGAAACCAATACTCTAGTTTTGGGTAATTCATTCTACGAAAAAATCCCCCTACACAGCTTGCTTCAGATTAGGTTGTGAACCTGCATTATTCTTTCACTGCTTTGAAGATTACATCAGGTTGCTGTCTAAACTGCTGCTAATTGTTACAAAAATTTATTGCTGGTATAACAAGGTTTGAAGAAAATACTTTGCCACAAATTCAGATTCAATTGTGCTAGGCACTTTATAAACAGAATAAATGTGTTATTTCCTTTATTTAATAGTCAGGTTTTTATACATATTTTTTAAGAAGACAACAGATGGGTACAATGAGGCAGATGGGAAAACAGAAGAAAACTACTGACTGGGCACCACAATATGGCTATTATAGAATCTAACAATTCAGTGTTCTCACATCAAACTAACTGCAGTTTTCTTGTTTGAAGTATTACTTTGTAAAAGACAAACAGAACTGCAGCACACTGTAGATCTCGGGGAATTCCCCCCCTTGCTTAACTGCTGCCATAATACATAGTTTACCTGTAGGTGATGGGTTGCACTATTATTATATCAGACATCTCAAATGCTTCTTTGTGCAGTGGCATATTCAGACACTCAACTCTCTTCCTTTGGCTTCCTTTTCTTCTGTGCATTCTATGCCATTTCAGTCATGTAAGCTTCATTAGGTACTCGCTGCTGTATTACGTGAAGGCTAACTGCATCACATACTTTGTTTCTTGTGAGCACGCTAAAATCTGATCAAGATGCATGGTTCTAAATTATTTGCATTTTTGTTGCATTGCCATTAGTCTGCATGAGACACAGCACCAGACAGTACTTCCTACCCATGCAAATAAAAAGTTTATTAAGAAAGACCTATTACACTGAAGGGTAAAGCTTAATTGAAGGGCTAGTGAGATGGTACTCCTCTATCTTAGACATCTCACTAATGGTTCTGATTATCATCCTCCGGGTTTACCTGAAGCTGTGTAAGATATCACTGTTCCAGGGATGCATCTACCAGTGCTCAGCACCCTGCAGCGAAGTTAAACACTCACTGGTTTCTCCGTCACTGCAGCACATATTCTGGTTTATGAAATGGTCCACAGTTTAAACTATGCACAGTAGGACTGTGAACCACATGTCCTAGGGAAGCAGTACAGTACAGTACGGCAAGCGCTGTCAGAAAGGCGAATCAGACATCGGGAAGTCGTTACCAACGCTAAAGCCAACAGATGAGGTCTGAGCACTGAGCACCTATACGTAGGAGTTTTAATTCCCTATGTAATGAGTTGAGAGATGTAGGTACCTGTAGAGGGACACAGCACTTGAGTAGATGCCTAATTTCAGCTGTGCAGATATTCTCCAGAACAAAGCAGCATCTTCACTTCATCTCAGGCGCCACCAGGTGTCCCTAAAGAATAATTCTGTATGGTATCCTTTCTCCCCATCGATTTTCCTTTAGATAATTTGGATGTGCTATCTGATCACCTGCAGACTGTTCTCCAAAGAATTCAAATAAATACCACAGATAAGTCCACTATTAAAAAGTACATTGTTCTGGATGGCGGGGCTAAAGGAGATCTATGGTATCAACAAATACAGTCCCTTCATTTGAATGATCCTAAATAAAGTATTTGTGAGCTGTTGATCTCAAGACAGCCCATGAAATTCTAATTAAGTTTGCCCCTGCTATGGGAATGCTCTGCCAGATTTTATGAAACCTCTTCTAGATTTTCATCTTTAATGAGAAACAACCACAAAAACAATTTAACGAGGTTAACTAAATTCTTAGTTTTTGAGGTTTTCTTCACTATTAGGTCATGATTTAACATTATCGATGGATAGTCAAAGGCATATATTGTTAAGTTGATTGATATATTTAGGCATATATTGAGAAGTTAGAGAAGTACAGGAGCATGTTCATTCAAGACCATTTGATAATGATTTACAAATCATTATGTAGGCAGTAACATTTCATGAACATCACAGATTCTTTGCCTTCCCTTGATTTGATTTTTTTTTCCCCTTGAAAACATCCTCTCAGATTTTGGCCAGGACAATTAATGAATGTCATGTGCTACAGGCCTTCCACACTTGTCAATACTAATACTGATTTATTTATACATTACATAAAACTTATGGCTCACTCAACTGTATGCTGGCAAGAGGAAAATCTTTGTGAAATAACTGTTTTAAGCTTGCCTATTTTAATTGGAGACTGGTCATAATGATCAGGTCTTCCCTTCTTAATAATCATTTGGGTTGGAGCTTTGCTAGCGATAAGTAATATGGCCAAGCAATACTGCCTGAGACACTAGAAAACTGAGGGGGTAGAGGAATACGGTTAGCAGACAATACAGCAAATGCATGGCATAGGAGCGTGGCTGCTATTACTGCTCTTGTCTATATCATGGCATCACCCAAGGACCCTATCACAAACCAGAAGACTCACTGAGCCTATGGAAAAACAGAACTGAATACCAAAGCTTTTCGTCCAAAACCACTACTTACAGTTTTTGCAAATTTTAATACTATGTCCATTTAAAATTAATAAATGAAGACACTCAGTGCTACAGATGCTAAAAGTACTATTGGGCCTGGACATTCCAAAACCACAGCATATTTAGAAGGAATCAGTTTTCTAAAAATCCAGTTTGTTGTCTGAAATCATTCTTTGGAAGCTGCTGTCTTCACTCTCTTAGAGATCTTGCGCTGTTTATCCAACCTAATATTTATTTTTTCTAAATATTCTTTCCCATTTGCACCCTAATTCCTTGTTTTCATGTATTAAGTCAATAAAGGTAAGAAAACTACTCTGATGACCTTGCAAAAAGTTGGAAATGAAATAAGGGCTCTCCTCTTCCTTGCAAGAAATGTGTTCTTGTCATGGTTTCAGCTGGGATAGAGTTGACTTCCATACTAGCAGCTGGTGTAGTGCTTTGTTCTGGACTTGGGATGAGAGATAGTGTTGACAGAGCACTGGTGCTTTTGGTTGTTGCTAAGCAGCCAAAGCCATTTCTGCTCCTCACACCGCCCAGCCAGCGAGTAGACTCGAGTTGCACAAGAAGCTGGGAGGAGATACAGCTGGGACAGCTGACCCAAACTGACCAAAGGGATATTCCATACCATATGATGTCATGCTCAGCATATAAAGTTGGAGGAAGAAGAAGGAAGGGGGATGATGTTCGGAGTCATGGCATTTGTCTTCCCAAGTCACCGTTACGTGTGATGGAGCCCTGCTGTCCTGGAGATTGCTGAGCCCCCGCCTGCCTATGGGAAGCTGTGAATGAATGCCTTGTTTTGCTTTGCTTGCATGCGTGCCTTTTGCACTACCTATTAAACTGTCCTTATCTCAACCCACGATTTTTTTCTCACTTTTACTCTTCTGATTCTCCTCCCCATTTCAACTAGGGAGAGTGAACAAGCAGCTGCGTGGTCCTAGCTCCCAGCTGGGGTTAAACCACAACAGTTCTGATACTGCTAAGTAACTTTAAGTGATGAAGACTCATTTCTCTCCTCTAACTAATATCAGCTTTCCTCCATGTTTCCAGCCAAACTTCTCAAATTTAGCCTTCATTTTAAGGTTTAACTTTAAGCATGAACAAATAGATTCCAACCGTGTCTGTATATAGCTCAGAGTACGTTTACATTAGGATTTTTGTTTGGATCAAAACCGCTTTTTGTAAGTCAACCTCCTGATTGTCCCACTTACCATGCTTTGGTTGTCACTGCTGAGCAGTCCTGCAGAACATAAACCAGACTCCTTTCCAATGACACTAAACCAAAACATGCCCTCAAACCATTCCTTAATATTCAACTTATCGGACAAAACTAAGTCCAGCCTGTAGCCCTCCTATCCCATACAAACAGTGGTGACATAAGGTCCTCATACAATAATTTTTGCTCTACATCTACTCCTGTTTGTGCACCATGCTAATGCAGACATAGCCAAAGGGAACTCTGGTTTAGAGTCACCATACTTTTAAAAAGAAAACTTGGATGCTAAAAACCTTCTGAGACGACAATGTGAACCATTAACTAAGAGCAGTAGGAGTAGATTACACAAACTTCAAATACTCTGAGAATTACCCACAGTTATTTTAAAAACCTTTAAAAAAAATATGTGTGTTCAGGGCCACAGAGTGCACATCTTAAATGTGCAAATGTTTCATATTCTGCGTCACCTTATAATTACTTAACTCCTACATAGGTACAGTACTGCTGAAGAAAACAGTTGCAGGCTGAAAAAACAGGCGAGAGAATACTCACTCATCTCTAGTATATGTTCTCAAGTTCTTGCATCTCTAAATATACTCTAATTGCAGCAGCTGGTTTCAGTCATGGTCTTACCCAGATGCTAGCAGGTCACTGACAGGGTTCCAGGCACAGATGAACACCTCTGATTCATGGCCCCGAAGGACTGTTGCTTTGTTAGGAGGAATTTCAACATCCCCGTCAATTTCCATTGGCTTTGAATGATTATCTGTAAAGAGATATATCAGAATAAGTAGTTTGCAAGCTGCTGTTAGGTCTGCTTTAAAAACGGCCAGATACCCATGGCCTGAAGCTTATAGCAATATATACACTATAAATAATATTATGTGTGTGTCACTGACTATAATACTCTGTTTTCTTCCCTATGAGGATTCAAAGTTATATTTCCTCAAAACGTAGAGCTTTCCCAAATATTTTGTATAAATGCATGTAGCCTTTCTTCAAAAAATAGTAAGCATTTATTTCAGTATAGTTTTGTTTGAAGCTGGCTTTATTAAAACTGACTTACAAATTTATTAAAATAGCAGATTGCCACATTTGAGAAAAGCTGTATGCTGTTCTTCTAAAAAAGTTGCACACAGCACATAACATTTTCTTACACAGTGTCCTGTAAGTAACATGTGTGCTCCTCACAGATTAAGAAGTAAGGGGCCTCATTCCCTGAGCATGGCAGTGAAACAGTGAGAAATCACCTTCTCAGGGATATCATTACATATGCAAAGGTACCAACTGAGGCATAGATATACTTAACCTGCATGCTGTAATTCTGGGGTTCTTTAGACTGCAGTCTAAGTAACCTTGTTTTTACGAAGCTCTTTTACTTTCTTAAGGAAAAAAAGTTAATTTAAAATGACAAATTTCTCTTAGCGGCAGCAATTCATTCCAATTTGCATCATGAACAATGTTCTCACTCCAGATTTCCATCGCTTCAGTATAAATCTTCCTCATTCAGCTCAAACTACACTTCCTGGCAGCAGCACAAGATTATGATCCTCTGCGAGCAAGGCACCAATCAAGGACAGGTAACGCACTGAAACAGCAGACAGCAGATGTTACACACACAAGTGTGGCCCATTTCGCAGAAAGCATATCCAAGAGCAGAGAGCTGGCAGGCTGGGGGAAAGGCAGCCTCGTGTCATCTAATCAATGCCTCGGCCAGCTGATCTGCTCGGATTGATCAAAATCCAAGTTTTCGTTCTGGGTTAAATCTTTTAGTTAGTCATTCTTTAATCACATATGGAGATCCATAGGTTTGCAAGTGGAATAATTATGCTCCTTTATTGCCACGTGTTTATGGAATTTAAAATCAGCCATCTGTCCTGATACTCCAGCTCTGCTGAGCTATTGCCCATCAACTGGCAGAACAGACTATGATCTTGCGCAACTGCCATTGGAAGGAAGATCTCCAGATTTCCACCCTCACCCAGGCTTTCAAATACCCTGTTTTGCTCTGCCTAATTTATGCTGAGTCACACAAACTGCACTTCTCATTGCCTGTTTGGTTAGGTACCCTATTCACTATGTCTGTGCCGTATCCACACCATAGGTGGAATGGAATGGCCTTCACATGTCATTCAATGAGTTGCATAGCACTGAGTATCAAAATTAGAAAAAAATTAACAGTAGTTTCACAGCTCACATTTCTAATTCAAAATATCTGTATTTTTAACTACATGTATTACCTATGGACTTGTTGCATAAAACTAAAGATAATACAAATGGCTATTTGTAAAACCTACACCTGTGCTCAGTCCCTATGTTAAGCATTGTCCTTGATAACTCCCCATGTGTATAACTATTAAAATTAATACTGTCAAGATATACTAGTACTTGAGATTTAGCCTGACGCTAGCAGCCAGCAACTTTGATATAATATTTTGAGCAATCAGGAAAATGAAGAGCAAAGCACTATGAAAACCCAACAGAAGATACAAGTCTAGAAATCACAATCCTCTATTTCTCAGCACAGCACAGAATCACCAGGTTTAAAGCATATTTTTACGAGAAAAACACCAGCATCGTAATGGTTATGCATTCACCTGTGTCCTACATACAGTGTGAGTTGGAAGCTGGGGGGAAATCAAGAAGTAAGATCTTTCAAGTGTTTTAATTTGAAAAATTTAAATGAGATGCTACTCTTACCACATACGATCCTACTGTTACCTGCCTGGCTCTGACAGCAGAGCTGCTTTTCACTTTCAAACAAACCAAATGACAGCTTGGAAGCAGCATTACTCCAAGGTCCCAGAGTCAAGAGGTGCTATCAGAGCAAGGCCATCTGATACTTAGAAATATTTTTCATTTGTACATGCCCAGATGGAGGAACCTAGATACACACTTTGAATGTTATTAACTGCCGTGAAAAAAACCCCAAATAATCACGCTGTGAAAAAGAAACCTTGATGGGCTGATACCTGCATTAGTACATGCAAGACTGACTGGCCTCTGGGAGCAATGAAATGCTTGCAGGATTATTTTCCATTGAATTTCAGTAATGATTTTGACACTACAGCTTTGATGGTCCAGGAGAAAAGGGGAGGGAAAGATGAGGAATCTCTCAGAAATTGTTCGCAAATGTTCATAGTCTATGTGTTTCTTCCAGTTTTCATCAGTAGTCAGGAACATTTCGTATTTAGAGTGTTACTGTTAAGTGCAAAACTTAAAATGCCTTGTTGAACAAACAGGACAGTTCATGCTTCTGTGAAACTGCTTCAGGCTCTTCTCAGATTCAGACAGATGCCAGCAATATAAACTGGATATGATTATGATAACAACAAAAAGCTGCAGAAACCCCTGAGCACAAGACGGCACCTCGTAAGCGTGCTGAGTTCCTTACACAGCACGAGCTCTTGTGAGCCCTGGTCTCATCTGAAAGTTTGGCTTTCTCTTCGATGCAGCTACAATGTGTACGTGGGGAACAAAGCTAAGTAGGTAAGTAAGATGCAGTAACCATCAAGAAGAACAGGCTGCTTTTTTTTCAAAGTACCTTCAGAGCAGAAAGCTCTCAGTTAAGACCTCATTTGCACAAAGAATGCCTCTGAGGGGGTTTCTGAAAGAGAGGAACATTCTACCAAGTGCAACAGATCCTCACAGGTGAAAAACTTAAGTCTGCAGGTCACATAGTGGAGGACACTCCTCAAATGTTAACACAAACCATTTTCTGAAGGCCAGAGGATCTTTGCTTAACTGTATGCTATATTCTTCTCATTTTTTCCTCAAATGTATTAAAAAAACAAAATAACTGGAAATTAAGTCATATTCCCCCAAAGTATTATGATTAGTTTTTTAAAACATATATAATTCTGACATACCAGTGAGTAATATTAACTATTTCCTCCAAATTAAAAAAGGTATATTTTTAAGATCTTAGCAGTGGTAACCCTGTCTTTTCTCAGGAAATGTGTTTTTTTTTACTTAAATCTTTGACAGGCCTTTCACTGAAGTTGTTCGTTACAGCTGTAGTTATAATAAAGGAACTGGGCTCAGCCTTTTTTCCAGAGCTTTATTTTTCTTAAACCCAAGCCAATCCTTGCAAATATAATGAAACAAACGACACTAAAAATATTTGAGTTGGAAAACAATCCAAAGTTTGGCTCTATTTCAACATGCCAATTTTTATTTTTTTTACTAATTTTTAAAGCTGAAAACATTACTCAGGAAGCAGCAAGAGAAGGGAGCAATTTTATGTATTTAGTATTTGAATCCGCCCTCAAACTGTTATTACTAGATTTTTTCTTTCTGTCCTTTTCTTAAATCACCCTATCATATTATATTAAATATAAGATATAGAAAATATATCGTACTATAATAAATATATTAAAACCTTTTTGGGAAGGCATCGTGTCATGGAGAACTCCATATCAGAATAAACATAAACTAAATAACTTCCCAAAGACATCTCTTTTACCCACTCCCCCATCCTGCCCAGGCTGATACATGGGTGACTTCCAGGTTATGACTAAGGACTAACTAGCACACTAGTCAAAACTGTCCCTATGTATGCCAGTTCTGTGGAATCCAACAAAAGTGAAAATAAAGGTTTGGGAAGTTTCTCACACCTTTCTTATCAGCAGTCTTTTCTACCCAGAAGGTCTCCCAGCTTTCACCTTGTCCATCCTACGTCCTATCCTAAACTTTTGTCCTATCCGTCCCAAACCTTTTTTCCTAATCCAAGCTCTTGCCAGCTCTTTCATCTTAATCTATCCTAGACTAAACAGACTCTCTGAACGCAGTGAAAAGGGAAAAAGTAAGGCTGGATATACAGTTTGTCGTGGGAAAGCATAGGACCCTTTTGTTATTTCATTAATGTAAATATATTTTTCTAACTTTACCACAAGATAGGGTAATACAATTGTAAGAGTGTTAATCAGACTCATGCATTACATTGGCAGCTAGATCTGTTAGTCTTTATTTGTAGTGGTTTCCGATAATTTCTGAGGCAGACCTCTTGGAGTTTACTTAAGCAGGTCTGTTCAAGGGCTAGAATGCCAGTTTTGCAGTCCTGTGTGCATCTCCCGCGTATAACCCTCATCTGCAGTTGTGCTACACCACCTTGCTGACATCTTCCAAATGCCTCAGACAGAAAGTTAGAGTCCTCCCAAGGTAAGGGAGTCACATGGATCATCGAGTTGGCTGTCCCTGGATTTCTCAGCAGCTTCTCTCCAAAGCCTCTTTCTCCTTAAATTGCAGACCTCACCTCTTCACCCAGGATGACCAACTGGCACAACAGCAGCTGTCAACAACACATGCCAGCTGGCACTCCTCGAGGACTTTCTGTTTTCCCATCGCCACTCCTCAGTTAACTTGTCTGCCTGGTAGGCTGCTTCGCCATAGTAATGCTTTGAAATTTGCTGCCTGGTAGAGTATCTCATTGGTTGACACGTATCCTACCTCTGTGAAATTTTACTGGACAACACAGTGTCATGTTCTTGCACCCTGCTCCAGACAGAGTTATTGGATGACATTAAGTCATCCTCTTCCTCTTCAACACTCTAAGAAAGATCTGCAACTCTTTGTGAAAATCCTTCTATTAAAAATCACTGTGAGAATTGTTATTCTTTAATAATAAAATGGCAGATCTGACAAATCAAGGCTCAGAGTGTGGTGATACATCTGAACTGATCTGCAAGGCTTTTCTTTTATTAATACAATAGTATGTGTGTGTCTTCAAATCAGAAGGCAGTAAGTCTGAGCAGCTCCGTATTAGTGATGAACCAATAATCAGGTTTCTACCTTAAGAATTCGGGGGTTTTTTGGTCCTGAGACAGGAAGACATTCCTCTAAAATTTTCACAAATCAGATGAAGGAAAGAGTCAACAAACAAAATGTCAGAATTTGATACATTTCTGTTCGCAGCCCTTCACATATGAAATAAGTTCAATTTCAAAACAAAGGGCCAGTTAGAAGTAAAACATAAGCAACCCATAGTCTAAAAACAGATGAATATTTTCAAAATTTTCAGAACTTTTTTACAATTGCCTTTCTCATATGAAAAAAGTAATTTAAATCACTGCAGTTTTATTGGGGGAAACTATCCTGCCTAACCGGAATTCTCTGAAGAAAAACCTGGTTTGAAAGCATTTTTCTCACTGACCCACAGAGGAATCTATTCAGATCAAAGAGAAGATGGAGACTGATAAAGGTATCTACACTGCATAACAAATAAAATCTGTTAGATGACTACAGCCTTGACCTGCAACTTGTCTAAGCCAAAGAGCTGTTGGGGCTTCCTACAAAACCTGCCACACACGTTCCTCTAGAATTTCCTCAGAAGGCAATCAGGCATTAAGGTCTCATTTCAGAAGTTAGCCAGTGCCCTAATATGGTTTGCACACAGAAACCAGAACTATTAATCATATCAGCCCCACAATGTCAGCAGAGTCATCAAGATCTAGTTACACAAGCAGGTATATGCACTCCTTGTTTTGTATGTCTGACTTAAGATGTCTAAGATATGAACACAGTCTTCCGCCGTCACCAATAAAGGTGAATTCAGAGCTCTTGAGAACTGACTGTTCCCACAGACTAAGGAAATCTCAGGAAGGCAGGACCTTCACTTAGATATCTGCAGTGGACTGTATGACTAAGAATGTGCTATTACATAAAAAGGCGAGGAACTCTTTCCTCTGTGGCTTCAAGACAGGTTGGCTGCATCCAAGCTTTCTGCTTGGAATGGTCCTGGGCACATGTGACCCTCTATCCTGTGCTTGGCAACACTGTTCAAGAATGGATAGCTGGTGTAGTCCAAACTGGGCCAAGGATCACACCAATAAGTCTATGGATGATCCTGTGCTTTGCCAAGCTGTACAAGAATGAATTGCTGGTATAAGCCAAACTGTGCCAAGGACCATGACAAGGCTATGGATGATCATAGCATAGTTAGTACTCAAGGCTATGCTCCAGTCATGCTTCATGGCTTGTAGGTCCCAGCCTCTCAACCCATCTCCCTCATAACCTGGCCAAAATCATCAACTGTGGCTACAGCTTGTCCCAAATTTATCAAGTATCTAAAAGCACCTATAAAGCTGATAATATTAAAGAAGTCTGGGTAGCCTGCTCCAAGGAAAGAGCATACAGCTCCACTTCTTGATACTGTCTTCAACTTGCAATTCTGAAGATATTTGAAGTTTTTGAATTCTGAGAGGACACCAGTAAAACACAGCACTGTGATGCGAAACGTGATTTTTACTCAGTAGCCTTTCCAGAAATACCTCGCCCTCCTGGTATGATTCCCCTGAGTCCTACCACCTTGCAGACACCAACTAAGTACAAGAATATTATTGAAACTCAGATTGCCCAGTAGTGGCAAACAGCTGCAAGGGTTGGCTTACTTATTGCATGTGCCCCATTCTCCTCTCCATTCACAGTGGCTTCTCCGTTCTTTGGTGTGTTCTGCTGGGAAACAGCAGTCGTCGTTGCTCCCGCTGTTGCTGCCGTTGCTGCCGTTGCTGCCGCTGATGCATTGGCTTGTTGCTGAGCTAGTTTCTCTCTGAATGCTTGCTGCCGGGTCTGTACAACATCAGGCATCACCGCGTCTATCAGAGACAGTGATTCTATTGGCCTGCCGTCAAATACTGTACCATCCTGCAGGGAAAATGAGCAGAAGTGAAACTGCAAGTTTAGGATCTTCACCAGGGAGGTCGGCAAAGAGGTAATGATATAAAGAAACAAAACCATGTTGTGTGAAGATACTGCACTTTGACTTAACCAACAGTGCCACATTGCTACAGATTGTCTCTCTCTCAGATATATGATGGTGGTACTCATGTTCTGTTTGGCAAATAAGTAATTTATTGGAATTTTATAGAAAATCCAGGGATATGAACTTTTTACAGATGCAAAAAAAAATGCTGTGGAAAAAAAAGTCTGACTGATCACAGAAAGTTTCTCTTTGGTTTGTATTTGGAAAAAAATGTCATGGCTAAAGCCACAACAAAGGCAAATAGACTTTGGTTGAACTGTTCGTCTTCCTGCATGCGCAGGAGCATAGGAAGGGAAGCAGCTGATGAATAAGCTGATGAAGAAGCTGATGAACCTCAGCCAAAACAAGATGTGTGTACAAATTCAGTGGTTTCTTACATGGCGTTCATCAGCCCAGCACCACCAGTTGTAGCTGATTGTACAGGACTGCTTTACAATTATTTTTCCTTTATTGCGCCAGTTTTATTCTTAATAGTCATGCCTTTCATTTCGATTTCTGTAAATTGGCTTCAGGTTTAACAACCAACTGAGTTAACCTTTAAGGGGTCCTTTTTAAAACTTAATACAGACTCAGGTCAACAACTGCTATATCTAATTAGCTTTCCTTCACTTTCACTTTCCTATTATCTTAAATATAGAAAAAGGTTTTAGCAGCCTCTGTAAAGAGACATTTTACTGATCTTCTGCAAACTCCCCTTAATTCTTTGAAATAATCAAGACCCAGAGGTGAAAGATCTATGTTTGAGGAATAGCAAATAAGATTAGGATATGGATAGATGAGTAGCTGGGAAACAATATAATTTTCAACAGATAACAATAACTAATAAAGAAAAATAGCCATTTGGCTGACTAGTATGCTTCTGTTGGACTATTCATTGAATTACCCCTTACAATTACAATATTAAGAACATACATATTTGTTTCCTCATGGGGAAGAAAAAGGAGGAAAGAGTCATTAGAGAAGAAAAATATGAGCTCTCTTTCTCCTCAACATTTTCTATGTAAATGACTCTACCAACATTTATTTGAATCCTGGCTCAAGTCCTTGCTACGCAACAAAAAAAAGTTTGGCAATGGACTTTTAACTTTAAAACTGCTCACTGGACTATTTCTATGACTGCCCTTTCACAGATCAGAAACAGTAATGTTATGCACGTTAGTTTATAGACTCACCAATTACTTGCCGCTTTTAAGTAATACACTCACATAGAGAAGCATGTACGTAGCCATTATTGGTGTCCAGCCATCAGAAAGAATGGCTTTTGCTTTGCTGTAACGTACTTACAAGTATGTATTTCAACAGGATCAAACCATGACGAGAGCAACATAAATCTTAATGGTGACAACATGCATATTTTTGTATTATTCTCTCAACTGAGGCCAGTTCTGAAGCTGGATGCACAGGAGCAGACCTCTACAGCTGTCATACGACCTGAACTGATAGGTGCTGTTCATGGCTGGAAGTTTCTAACTGTGTAGATCCAATTTCAGGCACAGGGCAAAATGTTAAGTAGCAGCAAATTGGGACAGATTCCTAACACTGGTTTGTTATTACAACTGCATCAAAGTGCAGCTTGGCATGAATGTCAAATGTCATTGCCCCAATTAAAAAATAACACATATACAACTCTTAAACACGGTATTGAGTCATAAAAAGAAAACCACACGGAATGTTAGTGATAAAACCAAATGAGTTTCCAAACTACACACTGCAAACAACACAACCTTTTCTCTATTTTATATTCCTTTGTTCTCACCCATGCTGTTCACATGCTACATTCAGCTAGAGAGGAAAAAGCAATAGCTTTTCATGTATTAATATTTATTACAGATCTCTGTCAATTACAAATATCTACGGTAAATATTTTGTAATGCAGTACTTGCTTATCTGTCATGCTTCACTCCCTCTCGAAGCACCATGCCTTTAAGGTTGGCAGGGCAAAAATGCTGGCTTTTCCCACATCCCCTCTTTTTTTTCCCTGGCAGTTCAAGGAGAACAGAGACACTTTTGTGGCTGCTCATACAATCCCCGCAGACAACCCGTGCCCCAGCCAGGGTCAGAATCTACACACAACCATTTTGCTATGTACATGAGAGGACGATGCCTGGTCTTACATGATTTGAGCCAAAGTCACTGAAATTAGACAGAACCTCTCCAGTGGCCTCCGCGGATTTTTCACCAGGCTTCTCATGGCTTGCAAGCAGTGCTGCCTGCTAGCAGGTGTCAGGGAGTGAAGTTTTAACCTAAACTGCAGGCCTTTCCTGCCAAATTCTGCTGTGACCTTGAAAACACAAGACTGTAAACACAGACGCATTTCCTTGTCTGCTGCAAGAATCTGCGCGCCCCGGATTTGTTGACCAGGGTAGTGGAAACACCATAAAATCCATTTAAGCAGCCCAAAGAAGGCCTCAATGCCGCAGCTAAAAACTTGAGATACATTTCTACCTCAGAGCTTTTCAGCTCTCTGCTGGGGGTGGGGCACACTATGAGGAACAAAAAAAAAATAATAAAATAAAGCCAGAACAAGAGAAACTTGATGGCTTGCGTGTCCGTCCGGGCTGTTGGGATGCATGGCTTGGCAAGCCCCGGCGTGCTGGTCAGCAGTGGGGGTGGGGGTGGTGGGAGGAACGGTTACTTACTTCATTGATGCTGATCTCAGCCTCCACATACTGGAGCCCCTTCTGGAGGATGGAGATGAGTGCGGCAGGTGGCACTAGTGTTCCGTTGATGTTGGACTGGCTGATGTGGCTCTCAATACCGAAGGTGAAGGCCGAGTGGGAGAAACCTGAGAGCAGGAAAAGGAAGCCATGACATGAAACCTAAATGCACCGGCCAGATACACCTTCACGGTCTAAAAATAATTCTGCTCCGAGATCTAAGAGCCGCTGCCGTGTAAGCTGAAGGACGCGGGCTGGCTGCACGGAGCCAGGGAGGTTAACCAGAGCCATCCTGACCCCCCCCACCCCTGTACACATAGAGGAAACCATACAGCAATAGAAATGCACGCGGAGAAAAATAACCAGAGAACTGCACTAACTGAAAACAAAAACAAACACATAAAAAAATAGGAATCGCCACAAGGGCAAGTCCAGTGAAAAAAAAAAGTGATCCAAATCTTCATTTCCCTTGCTGCATTTTAGCGTGGGTGTTTTCCAAAGATAAATACTTAAAACCCTATCAGGACGCAAGTTGTATAAAATCAAGCCATAGATGCAGCTGACGCAGGGGAGCCATTCCCTTATACCAGAGAGGAGACTTCAAATCCTCCACTCATTTATTGCTGAGTACATTATGACGCGCAGAGCATTGCCATTACAACTGAAAACAATAGAAAGGCTGCTCCTGTAAACCTATTTTTTTCTGAAAGTAAACAGTAATAGCAAAAGTAATTAACTGGGATCTGCCAAACAGCAGATGACAAGCCAGTGCGGCAACCCATCCTTTAACCAGAAGTCTTTCTCTGCCCTCTTTCATTTTTGTCATTGTCCTAGAAATAAGGGGCAATGAAGGTGATGGCACTGAAAATTAAAGAATTTTGCTGGACACATTTTAAAGAACGAGCTGTGCCTTAAACGCTGGCTGCAGCTGCTGGAAACTGTTGCTGGGTATGGAGGCAAGCGCTGCAGAGCCACTGTACGTTGGGGCAGATGCGGGAGGGGGAAGGGAAACAGGATGTAGATATAACTGTAGGAACCCATTTATCACCACACTGTCTCCAGAGCATTAATCTAACATTAAAAGCCTTGGGGAAACCACCCATGCACTGTCTCAAACAGGAAGAGCCCTTGCAGTCTCCACCGACTAGACAAGAAAGAAGGAAAAAAAAAAACTCAGAAGAAAAAGAAAGCAGCTCTCAAATGAAAATACTTCCGTTAAATATAGCTGTGCCTCTTCCCCTTGTCAACAGTAGTTTCATTTATAGTTTTGTCCGTTAAGGGATTTCCCCCATATCACTGCAATGTCCAATTGTGTGTGGGCTGGAGGATGGGACTTTGGGCTTGCTCCACAATAATGCTTTCTCTCTCTCACTCAAATTGTTTTCAAGATCTTTTTTGCAGCTAGCTCAATTATGATCATAGATAGATAGCAAAAACAAGCTGGGAAACAGAATGCCTCCCACATTTGAAACCGAGGTATGTCTTTCTCTGTGATTGTCTCCCCCTACACATTTTATTTTACCACTGTTTTTCTCCTCTTCCTGGTAACAGCCTCTATCCTTTCTTTTCCCGACCCTACCTTCCCTTCTTGGCACTGCCCCAATTTTGGTGAATGCTTGGGATACTTTTTAGGAAGTGGCAGGTCCACCTATGAGCAGAATTATGTAGGATTACAAGGCATAAAAATAAAGCACAGCAAAATACACCTGAAAAACTGCAGCATCGTTTATCTAATCCTTGGTCCAATTCTTATCCTGTACTGCTTTTTATGTCCTGGTCTAGTTTATGAGCTGCTGGACCTCCTGCTGCATCCAAAATAGCGTGTTAAGATCTGCAGGGCAGTGTTTTTCCCTTGTTATTAGTTTTGTAGGACACCTAAGCACATTATTGGGTACCACAATGAGGAAGAAATCAAGCACTGAGCATACACAGCCTGTGTCCGAGAGATCCAGGGCTTCATCACCCAATACTGAAATCTCTATGTATATACAAATACACGTCATGCAACTAACCAGAATTAGAGAATCAGATCCCACTTAATTTATATTTACATGTATTAAAATTAATCATCAACAACTGTAACACCTTCTTGAAAAGGAATGGACTTTAAAATGCATGATGGATAAATCAGCAAATCTACTTAAGAATGGAGAAGAATGAGATAATTAAGCTGTCGTCCAGAAGCACTGAAGTTGACGGCTAAAAAAGCCAGCAGCTAGTTTGCAAGTTGGCAGCTCAGAAAATTGTAACATGGTCTCTGATTCAATCAAAAGGTGGATGGCATAAAAATGGCAACCAACAAACATCAACAGAAAATGTAAAAAAGTGGAAAACCATTACTGTGGATCTACAATAGGTTTAATTTTAACTATGACTTCGTACTTCTCATCATTGCATTTGGTATCTTGCAGACTTTTTAGTTGTCTGCTGGCGTATATCAAGCCCCGTCTTTGCCAGCAGACAGACGACTGTGGCACACAGCTCACCTCTTAATCCACTACTGAGTTACCATGTCCCCAAAGAGCAACACATCTCACCTGGCTGCACACAAAAGAAGGAACTTCTCAGCACAAAACCCAGTTGTGTTATTGCAATGAAGCTTGTGATTTTACTGTTTTTCTTGATCCTAAGAAACTATTACCAAAGCACCTGTCAGATCAGGAAAAACAAAACTCCTGGCTACACTGTCACTGAAGAGCAATCTCACTCACACACCTCCAGGAGTTTTGACAAACTTTCCTAAAATCTTATCTGATAAGATCCAAATACTGAAAATCAATGGAGCGAAACTACACAAGCGGGTGCGGCTGGACATTGTGTTCCTCACCCCTCTTGGAAAAATCCTTCCATACAATTGTAATTAGAAGAAAAACAAACAAACACAAGAGAAACAACTCAAACAGACCACCGACTGATAGCTAATTACCTCCTGATTTCTTGTACTACCACAGCATTTATATAAGACTCCTATGAAGTAGACTGGTTTTAAAAGTAACACACACGGTTAACAAAATCCTGAATGAAGCTGTACCCACATCAGGTTTCTGATAACGCTGAGAAATCACTTGAGCTTTGCTTTTATAGTTACCAGATGTCATCAGTTCTCTTTGGGGCTCTGCGTGTGAGTACACTGAATTATATAGCAATGTTGCAGCTTTACAGTTCAGTCTCACAAAAAGGTGATTTCTATTAAACAAAGGCAAGTCTTTTTAAATGCTAGCTTGTGTTACAAATGTTAACTTGGCCCTTCTTCTGCAGCTCATGAAACCACACTGGAGAATGCAAAGCCAAGACACGAGCGCCCCGTCCCCTCCTCCAGTGACTCTGCACAGGCTGCCAAGGCAGTTGGGGAGTGAGAGCAGAGACAGAAGGTACTCTGCAAGTGGGGATATGAAGAAAGGATGCAGTAGGGATGACATGAAACTACAACAAACCCAAACTCAAAATGCTGTAGTAGCAGTGAAATGAATGAAAATTGCAAATCTGTGTCCATATGCATTATTTCTCATAAATTCTGTCATTTTGGTGACTGTAATAATCACTCTATAAAACAATAACCTCTATTCAAATAACACCAATAAATGAAATCTTAAGGTAGTAAACCCTTTGAGGACACATGCAATGAGACTATGAGCTTTTGAGGTTAAAGACATGAACACAAAGGGCAGAAGGGGAGAGAGCACGGCCACACACTGAAGCGGTTTCGTACCAGTGAACCAGATAGCCACTTGTGCCGTGACGTAACCAGTGCCCTAAACGGCACCTTTTGGCAGACTTGAAAGAATGGCTTCCAGGTTTTTTCTACCTCAAAAAAGATGGGAAAACATAAACTGTCAAACTAGGTACAATCTGTCAATACATTGTCATACATGAAAAAAAGTACCCAAATGAACAGTGCAGAAGCTGGTATGATCACCTTAAAGGGAGGTGACCTATCAACTGTGGAATAGTTGGTCTTGAAACATTTTACTGAGCATAATGGGCACAGAGTATATAATGAATGCAAAATTACTTAAATGCCCCCCCCCCCCCCAACCCAAACACCACATTGCTATGCAAGTGTTTTTGACTAGAAAATGGAGTGAAATTCCTCTCTGAGAGATTCCTGCACCTTTTTGTACTGACAGAGACAACAGGTCCTGGTTCTGTGCTGTATCTTTTCCCACACTGAGGTGTCTATATACACTCTCAGTGGTACATACACAGCCATTTGGGAATTCTTGCCCTAGGCAGTGCCAAAAAATGCATATGTAGGGCTGTGTTTTGCAAAATTTCCGTGATAGATTTTGTTGTAACTGCAAAAATGGAAATGATCGAGATTTTTTTCCCTTGGCTTCTCCTTTTTCAGTTAAAAATGGCCTCCCCTTAAAACAAGATTTGTCATCGATCATAAAATGACTAAGTTTTCTTTAATGAACATAATGCTGCTCTTTGTGTGCTTGTTTGATCTGTAGGCTATGCACTTTCAATTGTTTTTAATATGCCTGTCAAACGTAGGTGTAGGAAAGGGCACTGGGCAGCCATGCAGCCTGGGGAATGCCTCATCTTCTCCAGAGATGTGTTGCACCTCCTCTGGGCATGAAGGATTCTTCCTTTTAGGCATGTGACTGGGGTGCTGCCGAGTATTCCCTGCGCTAGCTCATCTGGCAATCACAGCTCCAGCTAACTGACATTCACTAAGTGCTCCTTTCATTTTCCAATCCCTTTAGCACTGTAAAAAGCAGTCTTGTTTAAACTGCAATCTTAAATTGTAACAGCTTCAGCACCTACGGCTGCGTTTGTACAGGTGGAGGGAATGACAAAGAGGGGTCTGTGGAAGCAAAGACTTCTGAAGCGATTCAGTCTTCGCTGGTAGTTACCTTGGGGATGCCCTGATTAGCAACAGTTAATGGCACTAGTTTTCTGTTTGTGAACTAACTGGACTTAGTTTTCTGTGACAAATTTAACTAGTATACTGTTCAAATAATTTTTTAGAAAACAGATGTCTCTAAGTTATTTGCAAATTATTCAGTTTAATTATTCATACTATGTGATTCTTCACTGAAACATTTGTTATTGTAGAATGAAACAGAGAATAAGGAATTATGAACATCAAATTGCCTTTCACACACACCCCAGATATCTTTAT